ATAACCCCCTATTTTCCCGACTTCTGGGTAATTGACCTGACCTGGAAGGTTAACCAATGACCTAGGACCTTAAAGTTGGTTATCATCGGCTTCCTCGCGTCTCGGGCAACACGCTCGTTTTTTTTCCGCGAAGCTCTAGCTCCATCAGGGGCCAAACGACGATGGGATTCCAACGGACCCCTGTATTGTATTGTATTGACAAAGGCAGACAACTCCACATGGGCGTGGCTATTCTGTGTCTCTAGTCACAGAGAGTTAAAAAGAAAACATACATCAGGGTAAAATGGGAATAAAATTCACCATCAGAAATCACACACCCACGCACACACCAGGCACCCAATGCACACGTCATACGCAATCAGATCACCGACAATAACAGCCTCTCGGAACCCCATCAGAAGTGCGCCTTTACTGCTTTCTTAAAACTGTCCGGGTCGAGATCTAATAGGGCAGCGGGCAGCTGGTTTAAAAGCGCGGTCGCTTGGTGTGAAAAGGCCCGCTGCCCAGCCGCAGTGCGCGAAACCGGTGGCCGTAGGCGACGGTCATTCCGGGTGGTGCGGTCACCACTGGCCCGCGACCCCGCGTTCGTGGCGAACAGTGAGGCGAGGACGGTCGGTTCACCGCGCACAATCGCACCGCGCGCGACAGTCACCGCGGCGACCCGGTACATGTCACTGGCCGATTTGAGGCGCAGGTCATCCCGCGCGCGAGATACGTGGTCGTACTTTTTGAGGCCGGTAATAACTCTTGTAGCGAAGTTAATAATTTTGAGAAGTCTGGCACAGTTATCGGCAGAACAGTTTCCGTAAACAGATATGCAGTATCTCACGCGCGAGATGACCAACCCCTGAACAATAGTTTTCAGTGCGTGCTGCGGGAGGAAATGCCTCAGGTGGCGGAGACCGATCAGGAGGCCGGTACAGTGGCGAACCACGTCACTGACGTGTGCGTCCCAACTCAAATGACGGTCAAACAGCACGCCTAGGTTCTTAACTGTCCGGCTCTCCCGAACAGTCCCACCACCGACCCGTACGCTGACAGGAGGGAGGTTACGGGTGTTCTGACGGGTGCCGAGGAGAAGGATTTCAGTTTTGGGCGCGTTGAGTTTTAAGCCATGGGCATGGAACCAAGCAGACAAGGTGGAAAGGGTAGATTCCATGCGTTGGATGAGGTCAGGAAGATTGGCTTTGACATCGGACAACAGGATTTGGGTGTCGTCAGCGTACTGAGTCACATGGGCGTCCGGTGCGTGCAGGCTGAGGTCGTTGGAGAAGATGGTGAATAGGAGAGGACCAAGGACGGATCCCTGGAACACTCCCGTGGTGATAGGAAGGGGATTTGAGACCACTCTGGCGCCGGAAGGAGAGCAGATGGAGACTGACTGGGAATGACCATGGAGATACGAAGAAAACCAGGATGTGTCAATGTTATATTGCTGAAGTTTGCTAAGGAGCAGAGAGTGTGGAATAGCGTCAAAACATTTGCTCTGATCCAAGAGGCACAGGAGGGAAAGGTGGCTACGGTCCATGTTGGAGAAAATACTGTTAGTAACAGAGAGCAGAGCGGTCTCGGTTGAATGGTGGGGACGGAAACCGTGTTGGGATGAGGATAGGAGATGATTGTCGGACATATAGGCATACAGCTGTCGCTGCACCACACGTTCGACAATCTTGGCTATGACGGGAACTATGGATATAGGACGGTAATTGGAGGGCAAGGAAGGGTCGCCGGACTTGAAAATAGGATGCACCAGGGAGTGTTTCCATGAATCAGGGATTTCACATCTGGTAAGGCACGAGTTAATGATGTGGAGAAGGACAGGGCCGATGGCGTCAAAACATAGGATTAGGATACGGATACAAATTCCGTCAGGCCCACAAACACCGGAACGCTTCATGGAGAACATTACCTCCCGCAGGCCGGCCAGCGTGGTGCCGCGCACGCGGAAGCCGCAGGCGCCCACACGCGGCAGGCGACACGGGACAGCGGGCGGGGGCCCCAGGCTGGCCAGTGGCCAGCTCATCAGCAATCCGAGCACCGACACCAACAAAGTACGCATTAACCTCGTCGGGAGTAGCGGCAGGAAGACTAGGGGCACTGCTACGCTTTCCGGCGATTATAGGGCGGATCACACGGTACAGTGAGCTGCTGCCATGCTCACGGAGCCTAGCTTCAACGTCCGCTCTACAATCTTGCCGGATCGCCGACCTGACCCTCCTATCAAGTTCGCGAAAGGTCGGCGATCTCCCCTCGCGGCGCAGTACACCCCTCCGCTGGGACATAAGATCGAGAGTCGCCGCGGTGACAGCCGGCGCTTCGGGATTCCGGATGGTAGCGATTTTAGTCGGGGCATGTCTATCTAAAACGGATAGCAAACGATCAGTAAAGAAGGACCACATAAAAGAAACCGGATAGCTGCTAAAAACGCACGACCAGTCCACACTGTACAAATCGCTAAGCAATGCATCTCGCTGGATACGTTTGAGCGGCCTAAAACGCAGACGGGATGGTTTTTTAACACGTTTCGGTAAAGATAAAAGCAAGCGAACGACATAATGAGGGCTAAAAGAGCATTTTGACACGGCTAGACGACGGATGATGTGTTCAGAGTTGCAAATAACTACATCTAAAAGTGAACCGGTGTAAAAGGTGGGCTGCATCACATGCTGATATAAATCAAAAGACTGCAACATTTCACGGAGTCGGTCCAGGCCAGGGTTTGTACCTGTGTCTAACAGGTTGCAGTTTAGGTCACCCATGATAAGAATCGGCCCGGAGTGTTGGAGCACTACGCGCTGGTACTGCAGCTCCAGCTCGCCGATGTCCGCCTGGAGTGCCGCGGCCGTTCTCCGCGGCGGCCGGTAGACGGCGGCGAGCGTGAAGGGCGGGCCGGCCGACGGCTTCACTCGCAGCCACAGGGACTCCAGCAGACAGCTGGCGCAGTCAGCTGGCGGCTGGGAGATGACAGCGGCCTGGTAGCTGTCACGGGCCAGGATGGCCACTCCACCGTAGCCGGCGTCCCCGGGCCGGTCGGCGCGGTGCAGCGTGTATCCCGGGAAGGTGACGAGTCGGGTCGCAGTGGCGGATCTAAGCCAGGTCTCGGTGAGTAAAAAGAAGTCATGGTCGAAGCGATTCAGCTGGTCATGTTGGAGTGATGCGATCTTCGGTAAAAGGGACTGGATGTTGATCATCCCAATCATCAAAGTCCGTTTGCGGCCGTCGGCTGAGGAGCGTCGCCACGCGACTCCCCCTCCTATGCGTTAGACGCTGGCAAAACACGAATACGGGCGAGGGTTAAAACACCAGTCAATTTCTTTATATTGTTTGTTCCATTTCATTTTGTCACTCATTCTCTGCTGGCAACTGCCATGCAGGAAAACTTATCAGTTTCACGAGATCAGAATTCCCGCGCTGTTAGCCATACAGAAACGACAGTTCTGTCATTTTCGAAACTACGGATAATTATAACAATTTTTTAATCTATATGTATATAGGTGTTCTATAGTGTTCCTTTGTAGCTTGTAGAGAGCCATCTTGAGACTTGACAGGGAGATGTGCTGTGCCTTTTGCATGTTAGGTATGTCCACAGAAAAAAAAAACTTTGGTGTCACTGATGTTAGTTGTCGGACCTTCGTCCCCGTCTTGAGTTGAGATGTCAGTTTCACAACGTTTCGGCCAGTTACTCTCCGGCCGTCGTCAGGTGTTCTTTGACCCTCAGAAGGACCTGAATGTTGGTGGCATTGCGCCGTACGCGTCATACCGATCGAAAGGTCCTGTGGTCAGCGGGAATCGAACGCGAGTTTCCCCGGTTATAGTCCACGGTTCTAATCTAAACACTCCACTATCGAGACAGATCTAAATACGGCCGGAGAAGTTACTGGCTGAAACGTTGTGAAACTAACATCTCAACTCAAGACGGGGGCGAAAGTCCGACAACTATAGCATCAGTGATACTAACAGGCCTCGTCTCAAGCATTCAGAAAAAAACTAAAGCTTTTGGGGGTTGATGGGGTGATGTGGGGAGATAAAAGGAGAAGAGTTGGTCTAATTGACTTTGTCTTACCTGCAGACCCATATTTCATGCTAATTTGCATGCATACCAGCCTGGTATCAGCCACCACTTGATGGCATATCAACTCACCACCTGTCACTTTTTTAAAATTATAAAAAAAGCGTTGTTATAGGTGAAACCCAAAACTATCTGGGATCAACAGCAAATTGATGGTAGTATCTTTCCCAGTGCATGTTGTTCCATGAATATCCACCGTCTTTGCTGTAGGGTGGGGACTTTTCCTTAGTTTCAAAATCAGAAGAAAAAAAGGACTTTGAAAAAAGTAATGTGTTAAGAAGGCACTGCACCACATGCATGCCTTTCTCAGCAATATGCATCACTTATTGGCTGCTTTACTTCACAGAAAAAGAAAACTGAAAATTGGTTTACAAGTGGATGAGCAGCACACATTTTAACATTTTTCGAGCAATTTATATCAACTCACCACCCCATATCAACTCACCCCGGTTTACGGTACTTGCCATTTCAACCAACGTCTATAAATTGGACTTTTATTGTTTCAATGTTGCTACTAAAGGAACTATCGCTGCTATATGTGATGCATTTGATGCCCTCTGGTGTGGGGTTGATGACTGGGTGAGCGCCATTCTCAGATAGGTATATAGGGGATGTTCCAGTGGCTCTTCCAACCTTTTCTAAGCTCCTCTAACCTCCTCTCGTTTCAAGAAAATTGTTCCCGTCGCTCCTCCAAGCTTCTCCCGATTTGACATCTCACCATCACTATTTGTCTCCTTCCTTATCTCAAAGGAAAGTTGGATTTTTGGATGAGGCTCTGCGTATGACATATATTGGCGCGTCTAATACAAACGTGAATTGTTTGTTAGCGAGATTTGAGCGGCAAGGAAATGAGTGCTCCAGTGACCTCCTCCGAATTTTTTTAGGTTTCCACTGGAACATACCCATAGTAACGGCAGTGCTGTGTTTTCAGATGGTGACGGCCAACACCGCCTGCACCAGCGGAGTGTGCGCATGTGCATCGGGCTATTGGAACAACGGGGGCACCTGCCGACAATGTGAGTCGGCACAGCGCATAATTACGCTGCTTCGGACCCGCGGGCCAACACCGCCGCGACACCTCCGCACCAGTCGGAGAAAGAGGCCTACAGGATTGGCATGACACACAGCACTACGACCCATTCACTTACGACCCATAGCACTACGACCCAAATATGAGTTGCGACACATTAAAAATGTGTCGCAAGTGCAACTCATATTTCCTATTCGCGCCCGACATGGTCGCAAATAGCTCAAGAGGGGAAAGAAAGGGGAAAAGAGAGAAATGAAAATGAAGTTTTGCTGAAGCTTGCAATGCATGTGGCAGGGGATGCCAAATGTCGTCACCGACTGCAGGGGTGCCGAATCCAGCGCGGACCTCGAATATCATACGAGATAGCCCGCAAAATTGGGGCTTTCGCCTTCTTTCGCCTTCGGTGCATCACGTGACCAGTTTTTACTTACGTAAACGTGTTGGATAAACGTTCCTGTTCGAGCGATTGAGTGCTTTTCGTATAGGTTACCTTTTTGGGATCATATTTCATCTTTTCAGGCGTCGCATTTTATGCCATTTTTAATATGGGAAAACTCATAGACTTATTAGTGACCCTCCCCGGTCGCTAATCGGGAAGAGTTCCCTATTAGCGTTTTTTTTTTTTGCAATGGTTTGTCAAAATGCTCACTACAATTAAATTAGTGGATATTGGAGCAGAAAATGACTATATTTTAATAGAAAAATGGACGATCTCTCCGAAAATCAAGTCAGTAATGCGGTGGCACCCATAGAGCGTGAGCAATGACGGTTCAAATTAACCCGCGCCCCGTAGGGCTACCGGCGGACCCTACCACCCGTAGGGGGGGGGGGGCGTTTCGGCCCCCCCTAAGATCTCGGAATTTTACCGGCCGATTTTCAAAATTCAAACGGCGTTCGATAGCCCCACCGGGGAACTACCTTGTGACCAAATTTCATTGACCTAGGTCAAACCGATGACGTCACAGGTCAGGTCAAAGGTCAGATTTTCACCGTTCACAGGCATTTCAAGAAATGTGTTGTGAAATCGAGTAAATTGGTAAGTTATTGAAAACCATCGATGGTACATTGTTCGCAAACACATACGTCGCTATCTGAGGTCACTGATACCAGGTCAGGTCACAGAGGTCAGGTCACTGGGGGTCACAATATGAAAGTGTCGTGTGATACATGTTTTATGGTCCATTTTACATTACAAATGCGATTATGTGGGTCAGGCAGCCTTTGGGGTCAGTTAAGATTATGTTCCGGTGAAGGTCAGGTCAAGGTCAGGTCAAATTAGGTCAAATTTCAAAGTTGATATTTTTGCATAAAATTGGTATCCATTCGATGCAGCTCGTCACGGGGAGTCCAATGGTGGTCTTTGTTTTGCCCTACGTGGTCTAGAATTGCCAAAAATTGAGTTTGAAAATTTGACGCCATCATTTTTGAACAGTTTTTTTCGCTATAACTTCGCCAAAAAAGGAGATACCGATCTGAAATTTGGTATGTAGATAGAAGACGGTAGGCACTATCACATATATTCCTTTTTTCGAAACTCAAAAAACTTTTTGGATTTTTTGGCTAATATATGCGAAAAATTGCATTTTTGATTTTTGGGGGTCAAAACTCAAAAATTCCAAAAATCCGGTCAATTGACAGTTTTGTAGCCCTGTCAATTCTACACCTTTTATGTCTTGATCATTTTTCTGTATCTTCAAAGCTGTAGGCCTGACAGCTCTTCTCGCGAAGGTCTTTTTTCGGTCGAAAATGGCAGAACATGACGTCATTCTGACGTCATTTGTAGCCAACCTATCATAGCCTCTGGAAAAAAAAATTTTGGTCACAATGTGTAAAATTGATGCCCGGAGGGGTCCGGAAAGTTTGGTGGCGATATCTCCAGCCGTTTAGGAGATGTCGACGGAAAAGGACAGGGGGGGGGGGCGTTTCGGCCCCCCCTACGGGGCGCGGGCTAAGGGGGTCGCTAATTAGGCACCTTACCCTATCGTCCCCAGACCCCAACTTAATTGCATTGGTATTTGTGTGGAAGGCGGTGTAACGAAAGAGACGCGTCATTAGGTACTCCCCTCCGGTTATACTTGCTATAAGTGAAAAGAAAATATCATAATATGACCGTTCTGTTTTACTTGGTACGAATAGGCATTAAATGAATAATGTACCTAATACAGGGTGTCCCATGAGTTCCTCCTCACCTAAATTTTACTTTTAGAGGTTCTCTTATTTAAAGCCACGCTTAATTTATTTTGTAACTGAGCTATTGGGGTTGCCATGGCAACTGTGAATGTGCTCCACGGTAACTAATTCGTCTAGACAAAATATTTTTTGCTCGAGAGTTCACTTCCTGTGGAGACGGCTTACGCCGCAACATAGAGGTCTCCGATGCGGGAACGTCTCGGAATTTAGTCCGCACTGGGCCATTCGCGACGGTTGAGGGTGATTGAGGCCATCCAGTCTGTAGCCAATGTCTGTCGCTAACTGGACGCACAGTCAACAAGTGACGCCGATGATTTGTCGAGAGTCAATCGCTGCAAGTTTATGGTCTTTTTTGTCAGCTTTCACGAGTGAGCCATGTGGCCAAAACTGTGTGGCGCCAAAGTGGCCGTCAAAAAGGTCTTAGCGTTAGAAAGTTGGTAAGCAGGCTTTTCAGGATGCATTACCAGCTGTCTAAGAGTATTATTTCGGGGTACCTAGCTCACGGTCACTTGGGCTTAAACTTAACGGAGGACGCAAAACAGTCGAAAATGTCTTAAAATGGCCAAACATGTGTTTCGTTATGCCTGAGGCTAAAAAAAACTGGAGGGCCGATGACATCAATGTGGTCATCTGGACTACTTAGTCCGTGTTCGAGATAAAACACCCGTCGAAACCCCAAAACGGTCCTATATGGGCGACGGAAAAGGCCTTCGTGTCGTCCCGCTTTATTCCTATGCAAAAGGCCAGGGTCACGGTAATGTGGGGTAATATGCGTCCAGACACTGATCACGTTGCGATTGATACTCCAGAAACACTGTTGGGACGCAGAATGCTTCTCCAAGAAGATCTAGGAGGAGTTTCAGCTTTCTAGCTTAACTCGAGCCGCAAGTATGAACACATCTTTGGAGGAGATAATGGCATCCGGGAGGTCGTAGGCCCATCTTCAAGCAAGACAGTGCATCAGTGCACAGGTCAAGCAAAGCTTAGAAGCAGTGCCAGGAGACTGTGATAGGCGTCTGTGGCAAGATCACATCCCAGGCAACACATCGGATCCAAATTTCATAAAAATGTGTTGGGAATATTGAAATCGAGGCTCGTCGAAGCGAAGCGGTGTTCCAGCAATGAGAAGCTCACGGCGCATGCCAAGTTAGTCAGGGATAACTTCCAGCCTGCTATGCTGCCAAACATGCCGGTTGGCATGCCGCAGCATGTATTCATGTGTTTGCCTATGAAATGGGGAGCACGTTGAGGGATCATAAACATATCAAAACGCAATGCACTCTGTTTTACATGCAAGTATAAGATGAGAACGAACTTATGGGACACCCTGTATCTTGCTAATTTTCAGGCAAGCAGATTCATCATTTTTTTTTAATTAGCCGGTATTTGTTAAAAAAAAGATTAATATCAACGGTCTTACTAGTTATGCATGACTTGGTATAACACTGGGCGTGCAAAGGCTGGAACAGCGGCAGCTGGCTCCGGGGTGGGGGCTGGAACAGCAGCAGTTGGCTCCGGGGTGGGGGCTGGAACAGCAGTAGTTGGCTCCGGGGTGGGGGCTGGGACAGCGGTAGTTGGCTCCGGGGTGGGGGCTGGAACAGCGGCAGTTGGCTCCGGGGGGGGGGGGGGCTGGAACAGCAGCAGTTGGCTCCGGGGTGGGGGCTGGGACAGCAGCAGTTGGCTCCGGGGTGGGGGCTGGAACAGCGGTAGTTGGCTCCGGGGTGGAGGCTGGAACAGCAGCAGTTGGCTCCGGGGTGGGGGCTGGAACAGCGGCAGTTGGCTCCGGGGTGGGGGCTGGGACAGCGGTAGTTGGCTCCGGGGTGGGGGCTGGAACAGCAGCAGTTGGCTCCGGGGTGGGGGCTGGGACAGCGGTAGTTGGCTCCGGGGTGGGGGCGGAAACAGCAGCAGTTGGCTCCGGGTGCTGACGGCGCCGGTTCTGCCTCCCTCAGCGGTGCCGTTCGGAGGGGCGTGTACCTACCAGGAGGACTGCTCCTCGTACAACTCCAAGTTCATCTGTAGCGGCGGCACGTGCGGCGACTTTGGCTGCACTCCGGTCATAGTGAGCGGATGTAAGTATGAAGTACAGGACGTAGGGCCTTGGTACCGGCCAGCGCTAAAGTAATGTGAGGTGTCAGTACCTAATGGTTAAGCTTTCCATTTGTATCTTAGGAACTATTTGTCAGAGTTGAGACTACCATAAAACTTGGTATGCCACTAACAAGTCCTGCAGCTGCAAGCTCATCTTTTCCTGTCTTCATCTGAATCACTCCGTACCTATTTGAAAATCGTCAGTCAAAGCCATCTGTTGACATTGGTAGAACCTCACATTACTTTAGCTGTCGGCTGTACCATTCAGTTCTCGACTCTGCGACTTAATGACTCGCTAAAGCCAAATATATTTGTAACGGCGGCTCACCGTTGGAACGTAAGGCATCAAGCCTTACGAGTATGCATGCATGGTTGCATTGGCTTCCCCATGGTGTAACTACCAGTATAACGCCTTTTGGGGCGATTAACGGAGCGAGCGAGAGGGTGAGCCTTGCACGTGCGAAATTTCGAGGGGGTAACTCCAACTGATTTGTGCACGGCACCCTGCTAACCAGTCTCTAGCCATGTGCCAAATTTGAGCACAATCGGCTCAGCCGTTCTCGAGATCTGGAATTGACCCCTGCACGTGCGCGCGTGCAGCAGCACCCCAACTCTGGCACATGGATATGCATTGCCTAGTGGGTGCCTACCTACATGCCAACTTTCAGCGCAATCGGCCAAGCAGTTACCGAGATATTGCAACTATTACAAAACTGACACCTCTTCGTTTTGCACGTGGCACGTGCATAAGGGGTCACCCACATGCATCGGGAATAGTCCAATACTTGGTAGAAGGAATGAAGCTACCCTACAAAAATTACCGCATGTACATCGGTCAAGTGGTTGCTGAGATATAAGCCTCGCAAAAGCGTCCGCACGGCCGGCCGGGCGGCCCAAGGCCCTCTAACCGGCCGGCCGGCCGCTCATACTCAGAAATTTCCGTTAATCTAAGGAAAGACTCCGCTCGCTTCGCTCGCTCCGTAATTAGTAAAGCAATTCCTATGTGCATAACGGCCTCATGTCCATTGTCCATCGCAGACGAGTACCGGCTGGCCGGCGGAGACTCTGCCTGTCTGTCGGGCCGCGTTGAGGTGCGTCCACAAGGCGCCGCCACCTGGGGACAGGTCTGTGACGACGGCTGGGGCACCGAAGACGCCACCGTCTTCTGCCGCTCCATCGGCCGCACGTAAGTGCCAAACATTTCATGTCCTCCAAACCGCAGTTTGAAGGATATCCATCAAACCACGTTACCCTCCAAATATCCTCCAAACCACCTTTGAAGTGCATGTTTCAGCGATAGGAAACATCGCTTAGATTTTTCTGTGACGTCTTTTTTATTTTGCGAGCGATTGATAATTGACATGAGACGTCTGTGCCCGTTGCAGGGGCGGCGCCGCCAGCTGCTGCTCACCCCACTGGTATGCCACGGGCGCAGTGTTCCACATGGACGACCTGGCCTGCGCCGGCACAGAAAGCCACCTACTGGCGTGCCCCTACAGCGGCTGGAATGTAGAGAACTGTGGCGACGGTGAAGTAGCCTCGGCAACCTGCACATAGGCGACCAGGCGGTAGGTAACGATGATCACTCGTTGCAAGACTGCCGCCACATCAACAGTCTGGAGCTACGCTCATGTCAGCGGAAAGACCCGACCGAACTCATAACCGTGATAGCTACCTACAAGAAACGAAGATTTGACACAGTGGGTCATTGAAGACATTCATGTTAAATTAAATGTTCGGGTTGTTCGGGTTCGGGTTCGGGTATGTTCGGGTTCAATCATTGATATTCGCAACGGGCGTGAATGACAAAGAACGGAAGGTGGACTCCACAAAAGTAACAAACAACATATAAAGACCCTCGATAAAGTCCATAAAATCAGCTGTTACTAGAGAAGGAAAATATTCTTTTGTTGTTAGGTCGTTAGGTATGCGCGGGTAAAATGCTGAATTTACCCGAAGTCTTGCTTTTTTCGGTTGGTGTGTTTTGACGCAATGAACAATTAACAATGAACACTTTGAAGACACTATTGCCTTTTTTTAAATAATTCCGGCATATAAGCATGGTCGTAGAATAAGTGTTGTAATATCATGTCTATGTAAACACTTATTTACAGGTAATTAAAATTACGTCGTACGACGTAAAACCAGTAAAACGCCTTTTGGGCGAAGAACGAGCGAGCGAGATAGTGAGCCCTGCACGTGCTGAAGGGCGAGAGGGTACTTCCAACGGGCTTGTGCAAAGCACCCTTTTAACCGGTCGCTAGCGGTGTGCCAAATTTGAACGCAATCGGCCCAGCCGTTCCTGAGATCTGAAAGCGGCATTCTGCATGTGCGCACGTGCAAGCGGGGTCCAAACTGACTTTTGCACGGCACCCTACTAACCGGTCCCCAACCGTGTACCAAATTTGAGCGCAATCGGCCCAGCCGTTCTCGAGATCTGGAAGCGCCCCCTGCACGTGCGCACGTGCAGCAGCACCCTAACCGCAACACATGGGAATGCATTGCCTGGTGGGTGCCTACCTGTATGCCAAGTTTCAGCGAAATCGCCCCAGTAATTACCGAGTTATTGAAATGGGAACAAATTTGGCACCTCTTCTTTTTGCATTTTGCACGTGCAGTGGGGGTCACTCACATGGATCAAGAGTATGCGACCTTTGGTAGAAGGGATGCAGCTACCCTACACAAATCACCGCAAGACAATCGCTCAAGCGGCTGCTGAGATATGAGCCTCTCAAAATCACTACTTTTGCAAAACAGCTTGAACACCCTTGACTTTCACGTGGCACGTGCCACGACGGTCACTGAGATGTATCAAAAGTAGTCAATTACGAGGTAGGAGGGATGGGGCTTCCCACTTCCCAGCAAAAAAGACCGCAGGCCAATCGGTCCAGCGGTTGCTGAGGTATAAGCCTCTCAAAAGTGTTACAGGCTGGGCCGGGCCGGGCCGCTCATACTGAGATTTTTCCGTTATATTGAAAAGACTTCGCTTCGCTCGCTGCGCTCGCTCGCTCGTAATCATACCTACCCTTTTTTTGCACTTAGTGTATAAATCTGCAACTACAAAATAAAGATTCCTATATGCTGGGCAAGAACTCGTGTAAACTCCTAAACGTGATATGTTTGAGAATGAGAGGAGTAAGCGATATGATCAGTGAATAGCTCAAGAAGCGTTCTCGACAAAGCGCATACCTGCGTGACTCGGCGCCAATAGGCAATACGACATAGGTACCTAGGTATGACACGCACTTTCCAACTCAATACCAACAGTGTGGAATTACAACCTTTTGATCTTTCAAACCCGGATCTTCAGTCAAATGGTAAGGTTCGTTGTAGAAACTAAACAAAACTCGCTATTTTTGTGATAAATGTTTTAGCATATTGCATCTCTTCAAAGGCGTTTCATTCATGCACTGGTATGTACAATTGGGCACTTGAGCAGGCCTCATAGAAGCGAGCCGTGACCTCGCAAGTGACGAGCCATTGCATTGGCGACGTTTGGGTTGAGGTGTGAAGTTACTGGCGAACGGCGAACCCGTGCCCTGAGGATCTTAAAACAGCTCATCGCACTCCATTGTCCAATGTAAATTATGACTCCCGAATGAAATGTTCATTGTAATACACTGAAGTAATTCGACCAGCACGGATCCATGAATGACGTTGCGACGCAAGGGAACTATTTTAGAAATACGAGAGTCGTAGGAGCGTGCTATATATTCAGTGGCGACGACGTGGCTTTCGTATGACCTCAAAGGATTATACCACCCAAAGGTTTGTATATCAATATGCCACCATAATAGGGTTTCATAACACGTGAATATTCGCTGAACCCCAAAGAAACCCAGCGATATGGTCGGAATAATGCAGGTCTCCGCTTTGCTGACCCCGTAATAGGGGCGTTCCACGACAAATCGACAAGTGCCCTGCACCCTTATATTTTATTTTTTGCTTAAAATTGGTCTAATGGGTTGTGATGGACGGGGAAACCAGCTGTGGCAAGGATTTTTTTCTTCGAACAACGGTTTCCGAGATATAGCCTCGGGCAATTCCTGGATGTCGCGCTGCAGCCCTATGTTTGGCGGCTTATAACTCAGAATCTATTGGTTTTCTATCGTAAAAACTTTATATGGTTCAACTCACAATCAACCAACAAACATTTTGGCTATCTCGGATTTTCAATTTTTGAAAATTTTGATCACGTGACCTTTTGACCTATTTTTCGAAGAGTGACCTTGATAATTTCCCCACTGAAAGTTGCAATTTTGTCTGATGACGATTAAAGCCTTATCAATTGTCATTCATATGCGAAAATAAAAAAAGTGGATATCGCCCTGCGTTGACCTCAGGTCAGGTCATTTTTATGACCTGTCCATTATTACGAGCGGGAGCGACAGCGAGATCTCGAGAATAAAGCAAGATAGCGACAAGCGGTAAACGGTGCAGGGTACAAATGGATAAGGTCTATAATTTTTACTAAGGTCATTTTCAGGCCAGGTCAAAGATGACGTCACAGGAGCAAAAAGGAAGTCAAAATTGCGGCACTACATATATATGAAGCTTTTCTCGAATAACTTTCAAGGTATCCCAGCTAGGATCAAACTAATATCACCATCGTGATCCTCTCGTCGATCCGCATCGAAACATATGTATGTTGACCTCGAAAGGTCGAAAGGTCAAAAGTTGACCTTAGGTCACGTGACCTAAGGTCAACTTTTGACATTTCGACCTTTCGAGGTCAACATACATATGTTTCGATGCGGATCGACGAGAGGATCACGATGGTGCTATTAGTTTGTTCCTAGCTGGGATACCTTGAAAGTTATTCGAGAAAAACTTCATATATGTAGTGCCGCAATTTTGACTTCCTTTTTGCTCCTGTGACGTCATCTTTGACCTGACCTGAAAATGACCTCAATAAAAATTATAGACCTTATCCGTGTGTACCCTGCACCGTTTACCGCTTGTCGCTATCTTGCTTTATTCTCGAGCTTTCGCTGTCGCTCCCGCTCGTCACGTGACCTAAGGTCAACTTTTGACCTTTCGACCTTTCGAGGTCAACATACATATATTTCGATGCGGATCGACGAGAGGATCACGATGGTGCTATTAGTTTGTTCCTAGCTGGGATACCTTGAAAGTTATTCTAGAAAAACTTCATATATATGTAGTGCCGCAATTTTGACTTCCTTTTTGCTCCTGTGACGTCATCTTTGACCTGACCTGAAAATGACCTCAGTAAAAATTATAGACCTTATCCATTTGTACCCTGCACCGTTTACCGCTTGTCGCTATCTTGCTTTATTCTCGAGATCTCGCTGTCGCTCCCGCTCGTAATAATGGACTGAGCGCTATTGCATAAAACTTACGGCACCAGATATTTTACGAATTGTCTTAGAATCGTACTTATTCTACGCCACTCTATTTCACAAAGGTCTTGAAAATAGTACGGAGTGCAAGGAATTTACTCCAGCACGTGACGTAACTTTTGGGGGTTTCTGTTGCATAAAACCTACGATTTACGAAAAAGTAGTTCGCCGAAGCGCGCAGAAAATGTCGCAGATGCGCCAAATGTGTAAAAATCTTAAAATATTCTACGGAGGGGGTGGGCTTCGTAGATTTTAACCGAAAGTCGGCTATTGCAGCTGTTTGACGCCGAATTCCAACTTTTTGAGTCCTTATACAGCTATGAATGCATATGAAGGTAACTCCTTTACACACTGATGCTTTCTTATCCTCGAACAATTGATAGAAAGACTGCAACCGCACCTCTCATTTCTCAACCAATGCAATAGCATGATATAAGCATGGTCGCACCTGACAATCGTACTACAACGGTGGTGACTGACGTTAAAGCACGCTCGTAGCTCGTTTGAGGAACTGCAGACGCATTAGTCATCAAACATATCAGCCGTGTCGATGTTTATTTGTGGTTCCCACATTCCGTTGACGATTTTAGTGAGCATCCAAACACACTCGCCTCAGATTCTAGTACGTATGTACTATACATATTCAGAGAACGTCTGTGCACCAATACGGCCGCGATTCAAGTTGAGCTAGAGACCCACGTAATTATTATTACATAGACGTATTGATATAAATGGGAAAGGCAATGGGAGCGTGTTGTTTTTATATTAAAACTGGTAAAATTAATTAACCAATTTTAATATAAAAACATCACGTTCCCTTTGCCTTTCCCATTTATATCAGACCCACGTAAACTTGACATGTCACTGTAATCGTAACACGCAGAGCGCTTCTTTAAAAAAGGAAACAAATTATGCTGAGCTTGCACAGCCTCACTTTTCCCGAGTGCGCCAACACCGGGATAAGACGCTGCTGATAGGACAATTTCAACGAAGGTAGTGACTCTTGGCGTAGCATCCGCCATCTATCGGCGATTTATCAGAGCCCTCTGTCGGCTGAACCCAGCGAGATTCTTAAACCTTCATGTAGAACCAATGTAGAACGCCGAATACCGCGGTCAGAAGACTCCTCCACGAAGTCGGATAGAAATTCCTGAAACAGAAATGAAGATGTCGGTAAGTACCAGAAAGACAAGA